TCAAATTTGATCAAAAACCAGCCAAATTTGATCAAATTTGATCAAAATTGATCAAATTTGATCAAATTTGCTTTTTCGAAGCTGCCCAGAAATCAATACCGGAATCAATATCAAAATCAATATGATTTTCAATATTTTTGGCAAATCAAAAATATTGATATTTTTTCGGTTTATTGATTAGGATCAATATCCGATGCTCAGGGTTATCCGGCCAGTAAACAGCTTGCACTAGTCACTAGACAACCTCGAAGACCTCCAAACTTGGGAACCCACTGAACCCGGGAGCCTCAGAATGCGGATCGCTGATTCGTCCTTTTTGGCCTCATGAGCCGCATGTACCACAAATCCACCACCAAAACTCCCATCCAAAAACAAGGCTCGCCTTTCACCCCCCCAGAAAACACCCCCCTCACCGTACCCTCCACCGTGCCCAAACCCCCAACGCCGAGTGGCCCTCCGTTCACCTCTTGAAGTTTCACCTTCACCCAGGGCCGCCCCGCATCCTGCTGCGGCACACCACGCAAGACTCGCCCGCGGGTCAACACCTCCGGCCACCAGCGCGGCGCGGCGCGGAGCGTCGTGGGGTTGGGTTCATAACAGACTCATCCAAACCCAGAACTTCAGGCTCTTCCCACAGATGAAAGACGTGATCTTTCGATGACAGTTGGGTCGTTAGATCACCAGCGGAGTATGATGGCGTCTGTCTTCCTATGATGGTGCGTGAGAACAGCCCTTGCCGGGTGTTCTGAAAGCAAGGCTCCATCAAAGCTCTTTGAGACGAAAATAGAAAAGAACGTATATCACAATGCCCAAAATATCAAACACTCACACGACTACCTGCCTAAGGTGTCCAAATAACTCTGAGATTCTTGATTCACATCGCAAAAATCAGGGTGTGAATAGCTCACATCAAAGAAACAAACCAGAGAAATTCAGATAACCTCCATTAACCTTTCGTCTATTCCTCCCTTCCCACAAGGCTGGTAAACGTCAACTGATTCATGCTCCGCCTTATTCTCTACCCAAACACTGTACACATACTTGTTCCCCGGTCAGACCTAAATAAATTGCACTTCCCTTCTTCCATCCGCATCCGCATCCGCATCCGAAGCGGAAACAAAAAACGCTTTCGTCCCAGTGGCGCCCACAACCTCACCGTCCAAGGCCATGCTGGCTCGCAGGGCCACACGTTCGAAAACCACCACAAAGTCGATGGCCTCCTGCGACGGTCCGTGCGACGGACTTCGAAGGTTCGTTGAAAGCCCTTTCCGGAAATGAAGCGAAGTTGACCGGTACATCATGTTAAATATTGTTGGTGTATGTTGGTGTACACAATTTAGAATATACATGAATACCTAGACCCTCCCGAGGCAATAATTTTTGCCGTAGGCTGTTGAGGCAATAATTTTTGCCGCAACTCATTTTTTCTGCCGTAGCTCAATCCCTGGAAAGTGAAAACGCCGTCAGAGAAGTGAAAACGCCGTCACAAAAGAAGAATCGCCGTTTTGTTTGATCTACCAAAGAGGATATTGTTTTGGTCCGTCCATACCCTGAAATTGCCTTCTCCTTTTTCACTTGTAAGTAGAGCTCATCGTTTTCAAGCCTCATGGTAGCACTTCTCAAGATGTTGCAGCCCTTGTCTAAGGTCTCGATGGACATCACGGCAGGATTTGTTCACATTTTGATCATGCAATGGCTGAAAGGATCGCTTGTGACATGTTGTGACAAGTCTTGCTGCCACCTTGAGTGACCCTAGACAGGGTAAGGGAACGACGCCGTAAGTAGGGGGAAAACGCCGTAAGTACGGGGAAAAACGCCGTAAGTACGGGGAAAAACGCCGCAAGTACGGGTAAGAACGCCGTAACTTTAAACGAAAAATCTTCTGCAACGCGGCGCAAGAGGTCGAGTTACCCGCGAAAACCGACGAAAACCCAGCATGTGACACTTCCATCAGCTGCCCTTTCCACTTCACATGACTATGCGAGTTTGCTGATATAATAAAACGCCTTTTACGTTCAGTTGCCTTTCAAGCAAGACCCTACAATGTTTTCATACTCGCCTGCACTAAAACTAAAACGAAATGACTCTTTGAGGCGCATGGATGTGCGGACCAAAATTGCCGTCAACTGACCGAAACTGCCGCAGTTCATCAAGAAACGCCGTTCGCATGAGATCAATATGGAAGAACGCCGCAGAACGGAAAAAGGCGACGTTTCATGAAAACGGCAATTATTATTGCCGTAACGAAGTTCCAGGTATTCATCCTTTTTCGATGTTTGAACGTAAACTGATAAATAGAGCCATCCCGCCCAGGACTGGAGATGAAAAAACATTCTGGAGACGGGGTGGCTGATGTATCATGATTGATCAACAGTCTACATTTCGCGGCGTTTGGTCTTCTGAGCCAGCTTGGCTGTCAATGGCACAGAGGAGGATCAACATGACCAGTTTTGGCTGAGCTAGCTATGGATGTTTGTGGAACCTGGGCTGATCCAGTCTCTTCGAAGGAAAAGGTCTCTTCGGATGATGCCAGCCTTTCCGATGGTTCTTGCCGCCCCCGGGGGTGCTTTCAGCGGCCAAAAAGGATCTTCAGCTCAGCTCCACCAGGTGCTCAGCGGTCCCCGGGCCCCAGGGTCTGAAACGCTCACCAAACCACCAAGGAACCGGTGACCCCGAGCCTTTCCGTTGGACCGGTCCGGTGGGTGACAGGTGGGCTCCTCGAACGGAAACATCATTGGCACCCCAATGCCATTCTAGCTGGTTCTTCATTGAAAACGAACTCTCTAAGAATATGGGGATGACACCTTAGGTCCAACATAGGATGTACAGCATAAACAGAGATGCCCCAGTTCCCTGCTAAAATTGGCCACGTTCCATCGCTTGGTGGTGGAAGTCTTTCCCAAAAGGTCACCAAAACACATCTCCTCCATCCTGTTCAGAACGAATCCTTCTCCGTCTCCCCGATCGGCGAGAGACAGCCCCCGGCCTGCTCGAAGAGGTCACCTGGGCCAATGGACGCGTCCGACGCCGCCGGGTCCGGCGGCACTTTCACCAAAATAATCAGATTGGTTGAAGCAGATGGTGTCTGCAAAAGCTCTGCAGGCTGTTCAGGCTGCAATAGCCCATTCAAAGATATTCAGAGTACGTACCTCCACGTCGGACCACAACGAACGCACCAAAACGAACCGAACCCTGCGCATCCGATCGGATCGGCTTCGGACCGAAATCAGTACCCCCATGGAACCGGCTTCGACCCATGGAACTGCGGAGGAATCCGTTTGGGGTGGACCTCTGCAACGGAGTACACATCCGAATCCAATCAGTTGTGGCATGTCAAGGCTTCCAGGCATGGCGGGCGGGCGCGCCGCTCCAGGCATGGCGATGTTGTGCCCCGTCGCGGGCTGTTGAGTTGGAGGGTGTTGTCTGATCGGTCGCACCCCAAAACAACACGACGGGCCCTCAAACAAGTAGGGTTTTGATCCCTGTTCACTTTCCAGGAGGGTCTGACCTAGAGATTTTATAGACATAATTTGGCGTGGGTGACCAGCTGGGGAACTTTGTTGTCTACAAAAAACACCAGGCCAGACCAAACAGAGATTTGTATGAATTGAGAAGCTGTGACGTCACAACTGAGGTTCTTTTTGTAGGTATGTCTGCGTTATGAACAAGGAAGGTATCTATAAAATGAGGACCCCTGCTATAGAGGGGTCCGACCCCCGCCATGGAGGGCCCAAGGATTCTTGGAGCAGGACCATCCTGTCCTAGCTGGACTACCCAGCCCACTACCATCCGTTGGACACCCAGACAGGATGGTCCAGGAAGGAAGGAGATGGACTGCCTATTTTTTTGAGCTCCCAGAATAATGCCTGCACGCTGTGCAAGGGTCCTAATTCATGTCTGCCCTTTTTGTCCGGACGTTTATCTTCCCCTGGAAGGTCTATATCAACCCGGTGCGCATCGCAGTCCCCCTCTCCTGTTGAGGGGATGCTCCAAACACCTTGCAGTCCGCCAGACTTCGACTAAGCCGCCGCCTGCATCTCCCATCTCCGTCTCGGTCACCTCCGTGTCGGTCACCTCGAGGGCGTCCATTGCACCCACGTCCCTGGTGTCCAGCTCTTGCCGCAGCGAAGCCAAAGCCTCTCGGCTGAACCTCAACGGGTGTAGAAGCTGATAGAAACTGCAGAAATCCGACTCAAGAGTCTTGTATTTATTGCCCTTGAAAATTGGATTTGGATGCCTTTGGATGGCAATCATATAATCCCAAGTACCTATTTATAAACGTGCCCTAGTTGAAAAAGGTCATGTCGGAGCACCCTAAGAACAGTTTATATTATTTGTTTTATTTTGTTTCTAAATCACCGCCCTTTAAAACCGCTACTAGACTACCAACATGGCCGACTTTAGGAGACTATTTTTTATTGGGTTCCTAAAGCAACCCTAACTGCCCACCTCTGTCCACCCTGTTTGTCCACCACGACACGCCGCGTTTACACCATCAGAGGCGTTCCTTCCCCAAATGGCACGGACTCACGCAAACGCACTTGCCACCGAGGCCGCGCAAAACGGCATGGCACAGCGACATCACCTTTCGAAAGCTTTAGTGGTTAGTCTACTGGAGAATCATTATCTTAATATATAAAGTTCTTTGTCAAGGGAAAAGGAAAAACCCTTCAATCTGGAGGTTGTCTCGATTTTTTATACGAATTTAATAAAAGGATTCTATATAAAATTGTCCTTGGTATACTGTCAGCAGATGACATGGGTACTTTCCAGAATCACTTTGAGCAAATGACATGGGTCTGGAATATGGTGAATGTCATCAAAAACAGATGACATTGGTTGGTGGGATGGCTCACACTTAATCCACATTAACTTTGCCATTGGTCTTGTACAAGCAAGAAACGCTTCCATGGTAGACACCCTTTTTCTACCAACTTTCCCACTAGCATCTTCCTGACTGCATTGTCATGCGCTAATGCGAAGCTAGGTGCATACCACAAAACAGATGACATGGGACACTCTCAATGTTTCTCTGTCCACATCCCGCTTGACATGGGCAGTTCTCAATGTTTCCAATGTTCACAGTGTGGCATGTTTTGTCCCAGATGACATGGGTTTGATTTTTCCCGGCAGGATAGTTTTTAGAGTCGTCATGTCACTTGCCTAGAGTATAACTTTTTGCTTTTGAAGCTTTTCCCAGATGTCTGCACAAAATCTGCACTCCAAGCTTCACAAAGCGCTGCGCCTGCCGGTAAATCTGCATTTCATATGTAATCAATGATTGTTCAAAAGGATCCTCCGACTGACCCTATTTTGGACAACCCCGATTTCAGGGACCCCCTTTAAAAAAAACATCCACCCGAGTTTTCTTATTAGGGGGGGCCGTGTTTTTAATAGATGGAGGGGATTAAACATATATCATATATATACCTGGACCCCCAAGGGGTGGTCAATGGACACTCAACAGCTAAGGGGCTATAAATAGAACACCCCGACAGGAGGGTCCTGGTATATACAAGCATCTTCTTGAGGCAGTGGATGTTCGGGGGGGTGGTTGCAGGGTTTGAGGCGTAGACACAGGAGGGTTGGAGGGTTGGGTGATGAGGTGGATCTTTGAATATCTCTGAGATGTGGATCTGAAGCTTTTTTGATTTGAGTTTTTGATCCAACACATCTTTTGACTCTCGTGGCGACTTCTGGAGTTGCCTTCGCACGTCGGTGCCTGACGAGTTGGGGGGGTTTGCCCCCACTCCAGAAATACGAGTTGGGATGTTGGGAGGGTCGATCCTAATCAGTAAGGAAACCTTGGAAACCTGACCTGCTTGGTGTTCCAATCAGGTCGTCCGGTCCAGTCACAGGACTCGTAGTGTTCCAAAAGCGGTGGAACCGTGGCAGTCGGCCCGGTCCAGGCTTGCCGGAAGAGGGAAAGACAACACCTACAGCGTGTCCTACAGCCGCAACCGTTGGAGTGCAGCGTGGATCTGGGGTGAAGTGATGAAGAGAATCGCAATCAGCAGAATATGAGACTTGGGTGTGTTTCTGAGGAGCAGGGAGCGTTCATGTGAACAAAGAAACTATGAAGGTTAGTGATGAGTGTTGTGATATCCCACTACCAAGGCCCAGTGGATGATGATGGTTATTGAAGGCCTTTCAAAAAATAGGCACGACATTTTGCCGACTGACACTGGTACAATGGGATACACCCTAGGTTAGTACACTTGCTGCGGATGAAGGAAGTGTCCAACCGAGTCGGCTCCTTTGTGAACAGGTTCTGGAAAGCTTTCTTGTTACTAGTAGCGATGGCCTCCACCTAGTAGCTTCTAGTTGAAGCATGAAAAATATCCCACCCTTTGGCATCCCAAAATTGGGAAAATCTCCCTTCGTCCGGACCCGGTGTCTTCTGCCCTTTCGTCCAGTGGCGCTTTGCAACCGACCTGACCAGGAGAAAAACATCCCACAAAACGCCCCCCAGCGGATGAGCTGAGATGGTCGTCCCAAAATCTTTGCGTTTTGAAGCAACCAAGAACCCCACCGGCCCAAACCTTAGATCTGGTCGGTGGTCTCAACTCACAAAAAAATTATACCAGCATAGACCCAGATAGCTAGGCAGAATCCCACGCCCTGTTCACCGGCAGCGGCGCCAGCACCTGACCAGCGCCGCCGCCCGACACCCTTTCGAAAGCGCGCGCAGCCAGCTCATTCTTATTTGCAGCAAGAACCCCATAGCTATCCCTATTGGGGAAAAACAACGTATGATCTTGCGCGTATAAGTTTATGCGCACACAAGTATGCGCGCAAACAGCAAAGCCCGTAAGTGTCACTGGCCCAAGGCCAAGCAGTATCCAGCGTCACTATTGACTTTGTAGCGTGCTTGAAGCAACGATCTGTAGAACGAGAAGGCCGTATGATCTTGCGCGTATAAGTTTATGCGCAAAAACGTATGCGCAAAAAACGGCAAAGCCCTTAGGCTTCACTCGCCCAAGGACAAGCAGTATCCAGCACGACTATTATTGTGTGTGTAGCATGCTGAAACATGCTGAAACAATGGTCGGTTGAGAGCCTGATGTTGCGCATAGAACATCATACATACAAAAGTATGCGCGCAAACAGTACAGCCCTTGACACAGCTGTCGGCCAAAACAGAACTTGAAGAATGTAAATACCCCACCGCGCTGATAAACAAAGAACGCTCAAGCGACAACACCGTATGATGTTGCCTGCATAAGTTCATGCGGCCCATGACTGCTGGCACTTCATTGTCAGAAGCGGCGGTTGGTCGCCCTTCACTGCTACAAGCGGCGGTTTGTCACCCTTCACTGTCAAAGAGGCGGTTGTTATCACTTCACTGTCAGAAGCGGGCACCAGCACCAAGCACCGGCACGCCGGCTCACGGCACCCAGCACCAGCACCCAGCGCCCAGCACCAGCACCCGGCACCTAGCACCGGGTCTCCACCACATCCACAGCCAGCGCCGGCACCCAGTCTCCACCACGCGCACAGCCAGCACCCAGCACCACAGGCACCAGCAACCTGTCTCCACCACGTGCACAGCCAGCTCACAGCACACCAGCACCACCACCGGCACCCGGCAACGTCCACCACGCGCGGGCAGCCAGCTCACAGCACCAGCACCGGCACCCAGCACCAGCACCGGCGCCCGCAGCCATGACCAGCACCGGCACCCGGCACCCAGCACCAGCACCGGCGCCCGGTACCAGCACCAGCAACCTGTCTCCACCATGTGCACAGCCAGCTCACAGCACCAGCACCAGCGCCGGCCCGGCACCCAGCACCAGCATCGAAAGCGCGCACGGGCAACTCATTGCTTTTTGAAGTAAGGATCAGTCAGTGGGCTCAATCATCCCAAGTAACGGTTGAAAAAAGAAATACTGTATCCGAAATCACCAACTAGTAGATGCTTTCCAATTCTCAAATGAACTGAGGGAAACAAAGTACCCGATGGCTGGGCGATTCTTTTGGGGTCAGAAATCTGTGAAGTCAACCATAACCGCGCTCACGGAAGATCTCCCTGTTTTTTGTCCAAACATCCAAGCGCAAAGATCGCATTGATCATTGATCTGTGGCCTGCTCAACTGGGGCAATTATCAGATATTGCCCCTGCCCTGGAGGCTTTTTCCCTGGAAAATACTAACCCCATCTGTGGGGCTCCTTATTTTCTCCATGTTTGGCCCTTTGGGGAACCAACCATAGGCGTCCAAGAGGTGTGGCATGTTGGTGACTCGGTTCAAAGTTGTTGAACAAACATGCCAAGACTCGGAAAAGCCATGGAAACTTGTATTTCAATTTAAACTGCGATGTGATGGGTTTCTCACTTTGATGTGATGGCTTCTTTAGGGTCTCAGGTCGGCAAGGTCTCAGGTCGGCAAGTTGGCGGATTCTTGAGCTCACGGAGCTCTTTCTTCTTTATTAGTGCTCCCAGCAAAAAATTGTACCAGCATAGACCCAAATAGCTAGGCAGAATCCCATGACCTGTTGACATGCGACTGGCTGGAACAAGAATGTACGCAGCCTGCACAGCCAGCTTACGGCGCCTCCACAGCACGTACAGTCAGCTGACACCAGCGCCTGTGCGCTTTGCCAGCTGACAACACCGGCAGCGGCGCCAGCACCCGACCAGCGCCGCCGCCCGTCTTAAACGCGCGCTCAGCCAGCTCACAGCACCAGCGCCCAAGACCACAACACCAGCACCAGCACCGACACCCTTTCGAAAGCGCGCGCAAGAACCCCATAGCTATCCCTATTTGGGGAATAACAACGTATGATCTTGCGGGTATAAGTTTATGCGGACAAAAGTATGCGCGCAAACGGCAAATCCCGTAAGTGTCATTGGCCCAAGGCCAAGCAGTATCCAGTGTAACTATTGACTTTGTAGCATGTTTGAAGCAACGATCTGCAGAACGGTAAGGCCGTATGATCTTGCGCGTGTAAGATTATGCGCGCAAAAGTATGCGCACAAACGGCAAAGTGCCCGTTGGCTTCACTCGCCCAAGGCCAAGCAGTATCCAGCACGACTATTCTTTGTGTAGCATGCTGAAACATGCTGAAACAATGGTCCGTTGAAAGCCTGACGCAGCTGTCGACCAAAACAGAACCTGAAGAGTGTAAATACCCACAGCGATAATAGACAAAGAACGCTCAAGCGGCAAGCGACAACACCGTATGATGTTGCGTGCAGAAGTTCATGCGGCCCATGACTGCTGGCACTTCATTGTCAGAAGCGGCGCTTGGCCGCACCAGCGCCGGCACCCGGCACCCAGGCACCCTGTCTCCACCACGTGCACAGCCAGCACAGCACCAGCACCGGCAACCTGTCTCGAAAGCGCGCGCAGGCAGCTCATTATTTCAATATATTCGAATGAGAACCCCATAGCTTCGCTATCTTTGAAAAAGATCCAAAATGACCCCCTCATATATGCAAGCTACACCACCAGCACCGGCGCCCAGCACCAGCACCAGCGCCGGCACCAGGCACACAACACCGAGTCTCCACCACGCGCACAGCCAGCGCCCAGCACCGGCGCCCAGTCTCCACCACGCACACTGCCAGCTCACAGCACCGGCACCGGCGCCCGCTGTCTCTACCACGCGCACTGCCAGCACCAACACCAGCAACCTGTCTCCACCACGTGCACAGCCAGCTCACAGCACCAGCACCAGCACAGGCACCCGGCACCAGCACAGCTCACACCACCAGCACCGGCAACCGGCACCCGGCACCAGCACCAGCAACCTGTCTCCACCACGTGCACCACCAGCTCACAGCACCAGCACCGGCACCGGCACCCAGCACCAACTCATTGTTATTTGAAGTAAGAACCCCATAGCTTCGCTATCTGGGGAAAAACAAGAGCCCTTAGTCAGTCCTTAGTCCTTCCAAATGAGGGGGGCAGAAATCTGGAACTCGCGGTTAATTAGTTTGAAGGTGGGGCCTGTGGCATATAACGGTGATTTCAGCCATGAAGTGCTCGTGGTTTGGGTGCAAATCCATGCAAATCTCCCACATGCTCGGCAAGAAACACCACAAAAGTCCACAAAGGTGGTCAGACGGTGGTCCCGGTACTGCAAGCTGTTTGTAAGTCCTGACAACGCGCTAACAATAACCCCCAAATGCGCTGTGTGGAGTTTTGCAAGCGAGTTTGCTTGCTTGGACTCCAGCGTGATGCGCCGACCCAATCCACTCGTCGGACGGCAACCTTGGCGCCGCGGCCGGGCGACTCCCGCCTCTTGTAGCTTCACATTCAGCACTTCCTGGCAGCAAAGCTGCGGCCCCTCCGGCACGCGGCTTCGAAAAGTGGCCAATTGGACGCTCCCAGGAGTACAGTACTCGGAGAAAAGAGTGTGTGTGTTTTTTTGAATCCGAGTATTACTCCTGAGATGATGTGTTTGGAGCTTCCTTCCAAGGAAATCACCATCCAAAACGTCAGAACCTGGGACGTTTCACCTATAACTTATACCTTATAGAACCTTTGAAAGGAACCTGAGATAGGCAATAAGGACCCCCGAAGGCTTGGATTGGCAAGCTAGGGCGTTCGGGAGTTCGAGCTGAAGGATGGCTTCGAGCTAGGCCTACTAAGGGTACAAGACCTCAACATCTGACAAGAACCATGCTACCACACAGTTTCTGGTTGATGTTCTTGACCAAACACTTCTCACCACTTTTTCAACCACCCAACCTGAACTCTTGACCACCTCTTCACACGCTGCCAACCTCGCATTCTCGCTCACCCAACCTCTTCCAACTCGTCCAGCTCCAGCTTTGGGGACACCGACACCGCGACCTTTGGGAGCAGTAGGACTTCGGCCAGTTGCGCGACCGAAGCCACTGAGACCATCTGCAACTTTCGCAGGGCGGCCTCTAACCTCAAACCAGTCCGAGTCGATCGGGCCGAAGGCTGGTGGGTCCAGCGGAGCAGCAAAAAAACGATGATTTTTTGTTTAAATCACCCGAAAAGACAAGACCGTTAGGTCTGCTGGCTACAGAAGAGGTATATTATATACATGACTTTTGGAACTTGCATGACTTTTGGGCTCTTGCAGGAAGAGACTACAGTGATGTGCCCCCACACTTGCGGTACTTAAAAGTATACTTAAGGAACTAGAAATAGTTATTTTCTACTTATAAACTACTTATGGCGGGCTTATTCTAAGTAACATACATCTTAGTTACCAAACTTATTAAGTTCTATAAGTTAAATAACTTCAAACTATGTGAAAAACCAGCATGTGTTTGCATTAAAACGTGTTCTGACAGGGAAACAAAACTACACAAGCACAATATAAAATTGTCTATATATGCAGCATGTTTAATGCAAAAATCTTTTTTCACGTTTCTGGAGAAACTCGTTGCACACTTTTTCTCTCAAGGCAAGCGCACCATGAGGTCGTTTTGCACAGTCCACCATGTGGGTTGCCGCAAGGTGGGCAGATCAATTGAAGAGAGCTTGATCGAATCCCTCTCTTTGCTGAATTGAAAAATGCGCTCAAGGTCTGCGCTGCCACTTGCTTCTCGCAAAGGTTCAAACACAAGGGTGATATCATCTTGGTATTCTGCCCACAAGATGACACAAGCTGCAAAAATGCGCTCAAGGTCTGCGCTGCCACTTGCTTCTCGCAAAGGTTCAAACACAAGGGTGATATCATCTTGGTATTCTGCCCACAAGATGACACAAGCTGCAAAAACGCACGCCATTCAAGGAAGAAAAGAAAACCACCTTGCCGGTTTCCAAGTTCATCGAACTGATGCATGCACCTTTTGACATTCGACAGTTTTGAAGTCCAGTTGTTTGGGCGACTTCCTGGGTTCCATAGATTGGGTCTCGAAGCCTGTTTGCCCAATTGCATTCTGCAAGTCGCTGAGCCGATTGCAAAAGCATTCTGCTAAGAATGCCTTGTGACATTGCGCCCGATTTTTCCTGCCACCTGCACTGGATGATGTCTGCTATATGTTTCGTTTGTACAATTGATGCTTTGCTTCCATCGGAAAGCAGTCGATGTAGACGCCGAACTCTTTGTATTGCTGTGGATGGTGTAGTCTATAATGGTGTTTTGGCCTGCGTGAAGAGGGATAAGCAATCTGAAAAGTCATGTGGTGTGCACGCTGAGCCTTGTCCAGCTGATCAAAATTTGTTCCCTCTTTTGAGCTCAGAAATGCACAGAGTAGCGCGGTATAGAGCTCTGAAGGATTCCAGCTCTGAAGCAACATGGTGATTGGCAAGTTTAGAGCCATAGTAATGCAGAAGGGGAACCAACACAGCTGTTTTGCTCGCTTCTCCTTTAAAGCAATCGCCTGCCCATAGACTCTCATGAAATAAAAATTTCCTGGCCGAAACTGAACAATAGTTGGTGTCAGCACACTCCCATTTCACCTCTACCACACTTTGCCGTAACAAATCCAAAGACATGCCGGTGCCACAAATGCCTTTTGCCCAGTAATTATGACAACTGTCCAGCATCACATGCTGGACCGACAGCATGTCTCTTGCAGGTGTGCTTGCCAGCAATGACTTTGCGTTGAGAGCGAATTCAAAGTTCTTTTCCAAATCTTTTCTGTACTGCTTGGACTTCCCAGCTGTGTCTTCCAGATATGAATCGTAGAGGGAATGCAGTTCACAAGCCTGAATATGTATAAACGCATCAACGTCACCAGAGGTGATATCATGAAAATAATCATCAGCCGCCGGCGCTTCGCAGACTTGGTCAACTATGTTTTGGCAGAGTAAGCATGGTTTTCTGGCGGCTGCTCCTTTGCTGGAAAAGATCAAGCGCAGTGAATCATAGTCACCGCAGTAGGCTTTGATTCTGAAACGTAAGTTGAGATCACCGCGTTGGATACCCTCTTCCAGCCTGTGAGAATGCAAATGTTGCAAGATCATAGCGCATACAGCAGAGCAGCCATGCATGCCAAGGGCCACCAAGCATCTGGCCGCTGCAGTTCACCCAGTTGCTGCACACTGAAATAAAACAATGTGACTTTCTTGCTCTGGGAGGTAGCCAAAACGTTGCCCCCTGTGGTCTCATCTGCGCTGAGCAGCACATCCAAGGTGTCATTTTGTACCGCCTGGAATCTCTGCTTCAGGTCAGGTGCCGCGTTGCAAAGATAACTCAGAAGAGGTTCAAGCTTGGCAGAAAAAACATCACTGGTGATCCCTCCAAAGCCTCCAACTCCAATTTCTCAACGCATTGTAAAGCAGGCTCGAACACTTTTTTGGCTTTTCTTTTGAAAGCACCACTTTGTTGATGTTTCTCAGTTGCACCGCCCAAAATCTGCAAGACCTCCCACAATTTGTTCTGTGGTAGTTTCGCCAAAAGAATATCCAGCTTTGCTCTTTTGGGGGCTTGTTCCATCCATGGCGTGCGGGCGTCAAGCCTGCTTATGGAAAGTTCACACTTGCAGGTAGCTGCTGTGTTATGACATGTGTGTGTGCTTGTGACATCGCCAACCTCTTAGAACACAATTAAGTCACTAGCAAATAACTATCGGGTTCGGAAACCAATTGGTTTTGCAGCCTTGGACCTGTGGTTTAAGATTACTTACTTGGACAATCCTGCGCGCATTGAGCCAACAAGGCGGGCCACCGCCGCAGGACCACAGGACAAGCACATGTTCAACACTGCAACCAGCAAAGCGGACCACCGCCACTATTTGGACAAGCACAAATCAAGAACCGGCGGGCTGGCATTTTTCCAAAAAGACAATGGTGATTGCGAGCAACATCAAGCCTAGAAGGCCAGATACGGATAGAGCCACTCGATGACACGCAGCATACTGCCAATCAGCACCTTGCTCTCCTCACAGAGGTGCTCCCGGTACAAGAGCCCCTCCACGAATGAATGAACAATGCCAAGCTCTCTGGACAGCTGCTCCCTTCTACTCTTGGACAAAGTCTTGAAGTTGTTGAAGTCCGGCTCCACAACAGTCTTGAAACATCCAAGTGATTCAGTTGTGACTGACTCGTCAAGTAGGGTATCCCGAGCGCGAGTAAGTGCCAGACACAGTTCTTCGACACAAACCAAGTCCTTGCACCTGCCGCAGATCTCGAGAACTGATCTGCAAAATTCCCGGGCGCATTCCCTGATGTCCGCCTCGTCTGAACTGACACCAAGCTGCTCGGCTGCCAGCAAAAGCCACAGCTGCTTGAATCCCATCTTGTCAAGACAAATCAACTTTAAGTTGAGCCACAGCTATACAGAAGGTTATTTTTACACAAATACAAAACATCAAATGAAACGTGAACGACTCCTGATCAAACATGAAAGGCTCCTGAAGTGCAGTATCTTTTTCTGCAGGCTCCTGAGGGTTCACAGGTGAACGATATGGAGAAGGCTGTGTACATTTACACAGGCAATGCACAAATCGAACGCATGAATTTCAATTGCGCTACCGCTACCGAATTATTGTTTGCCGGTATTTCTTCAGCTCTTTGGGATAGTCTTCAGCTCCTTGGCAAAGGCTGTGCAATAGGACCTACAGTCCTTCAATTTCGCAGACAACTCCTTGTCATCAGAGTAGCCCACATCCTGCAAACTGCATGTTCCTCCTTTTCCAACCTTCGTAAGCACTTCCTTTGTTTGATCCCTCCAAGTGATCAAGGTCGTGAGGCCTTCCGCAAAGTTCATTCGATTGGTCGCATCCATCAGATCCAAATTCACCTTGGCACATTTTGCCTCCAAGTTCTTCATTCTAGTAATGATCGGCTCCAGCAACAACAAGGCTTTGTTCGAAATGGACAAGACCTTCTTGTGATCCTTTGCGGCCTGCTTGGCCTGCTCCCTTTCAAGCTTCATCTGTTCACGCTTGTTCTCCTTCTCCAACTTGCGATTGTTGAAGATGACCTGAGGAAAGTAGAGGTGCAAATGAGACCAGAGTCTATACGTTAAACAAATAGTACCTGCAGGATTGTTATGGGACATACATGGCTTTGCTGTTTTGTGATTTTTTTGAGTTGAGCAAAGTTGCCGTTTGGATCTCGTCTTCCGAGTCGGTGCACAAGTCCACAAAGTCTTCCAAAGACTTCTTCAACTTCTTTTGTTCTTCACTCAAAGTTGGCACTGGTTCGGGATTTTCATTCTCCTTGTTCTCGTTCCGCTTTGTTTTCGGCTTGGGAAGGGCCAACTCTGGATCCTTTCTCTTCTTCACATTTCTCTCACACTCCACCAAAGTCCGCTCCACTCGCTTCTTTTTTTCTGCTACCGATGTATGCTTGATGGGAACCAAGTAGGTTGTGCCAAGGAACTCATGCTCCTCCCTGGGGGCCGATTCCTCGATCTTGTCCGTATCATAGCCAAGGTTTGCCCAGTAACTCAATGGCTGGTACCCACCTCCAACTTCAGTGGTGTCCTCCGTGCTTGAGATTTCCACAAAGGATTCCTTCAAGATCGCTCTCACTGATCCATATCGAAGTGGCCCATCAGAAGCTGCCTTGGCTGCAGAACATTTGCGATAAAAATCCTGCTGCTGATCTGCGGTCAGCTGATGCCATTCTTCAGGAAGAGTTGTTCCCAAATAACGGTACAACATTGTAGTCACTGCGTGGCAGTTTCGGCACATTGCCTTGACATTGCTGCCAACTTTCTTCGGGGCGGCCATGTTCTCAATGGTCACTTCAATCTTGCATTTGCAACACAAAATGACATCGTCTTCAAGAGCTTCAGGTGCCGTCGGTGAGCTTAGCAGCCTCGATGGGTGCAACCGATGCCTCTGGCATTTCCACCACCTGGGTTGTCGGCTCCTGGCTACTTTCTGGCTGCCTACAGCCAGCCCACTGAGACTCAGAAACGATCTCCTGGGTGTCGGGGATCGCGATTGTAGGAGCATCAGCCATGCTATGAAACCAAGGGAACCCAGGCCTCAACTACCGTAT